GAAAGGAGGCGAGGAAGGTGAAAGGAAGATGAAGGTTGGTGAGGTAAAGAGAAGCCGGCAGCCATAGCTGAACGAAGGGTTGATCGGGAGAGTTGACTGGAGGTGTTGACCGGCGTTGACCGGAGTTGACCGGGGGTTGACCGAGAGTTGACCGCAGTGTTGACCGGAGTTGACCAAGGCATTGACCAAGACTTTGACCAAGCCTTCAGCCTATCCCTCGCCCTATGGATGTGCACACACCCTGTGGTACTTGTTGAGTCCAGTCTGTCTGTATTTTCTTTTGTCTAGGTGATAGTACTCTGTGGATGGAGGATAGGGCCTTGTTGACCAAACCCACACGGGCTGAGTAGGGCTAAAGACTGTGTCTGACGACTCGACTGTCCCGGAGGACACGAACCCTCCCAAGGATCGGTACTGACCGGCGGGCTGCTCGGTGTGGCACGGTAGGCCCAAAATCCGAGCTGTGGGCGGCACAACAGGCCGTCTAAGTGTTGAGAGACCTGCTGATCGCGTCGTCCTGTCTACGACGTTAAATAATTTCTGAGGAGTTACGGGGGATCTCCTTAAATGCCTCCTGATCAGCAACAGGTCTAGTAGTGACAACCATAGTTAGGTCTAGGCTAGAGACCCTAGTTGGCAGGATCCCTGTCCGGATTCTGTGAGTTTTAGATTGAGTCAATAGGTTTGTCAGTCAGGGGTTAGAGTCTACATGGTGAAGTTTGGAAACGCTAATCCGGTTGTGCACTGACACCATGGTTGAGACCCGTAGTGGGAAGAGCACCAGCCCCTACACCCAGGAGCAGCAAGAGAAGATGGCCGCCTTAGTGAGAGAAAATAAGGAAAGGAAGTTGAAGGTGATCGTAGAGGAGCAGGCGGCGAAGAGGAAGAAATTGGAGGAAGAGATGATGAGGATTCAGCAGGAGGAGGAAGAAAAGAGAAAGGCTGCCGAAGAGGAAGCAACAGCAGAAGAAGCCAAAGGGAGAAGCCGTATAGAAGATAGAGGAGAAAGCAGTGGCACAACAAATGAGGATGCTGCAATGGCGAAGAAAATAACTGAATGGATTGCTAATTTATCGTTGGGGGAAGACGAGGAGGCAGAGTTTTATGTGCCTCAGGATGAGAGGGATGCGTTAGCCAGTGAGATAGCGGCAATGGAGGACCCTCTGGAACGGAGAGAAAGAGAAGAAGAGAAGAAGTTGGAGTGGAAACTGAGGATGAAGAGGGAGAAGAAGAGAAGGAGGGACGAAGTTAACAGGCTGACCGAGGAGGTGGCAAGAATGAGAGATTGTAGACAGGAAGTGCAGGCGCAGACAGACATGTCTGCCAAGATGGATAAAGTGCTGGGTTATCTAGAAGTGTTGAGTGCAGCCTGGTTGGAGGAGCGCCAAGCCAATAGGGGTCAGGATGTGGTCCTGAGTGCCATGCGGTCAGGATTTAGAGACTTCGCGCGCGAGATGGTCACTCACGTTGGAGGCGAAGTTAGGCGACTGAGAGACAGCATGGGGAAGTTATGCGAGGGGGCCATCGAGGGCGCCAAAGCAATAGTCGTTGTAGAGGGTGAAGCCAGGCCCCGTAAAGACCCAGTCAAACTTAAGTTCCCAGATGCGTATGGAGGGAAGAAGGAAGAAAATTTCGATAACTGGGAGGCTAGTGTGAATAGCCACGTGTATCTACAGCACATCCTGACTGAGGAGCAAGTCCCCGTGGCCTTCCAGTCTCTTAAGGATGAGGCGGCTAGTCCCTCGCGCGCGCAGCCGGTTGTGAAAACAACCTGGTGGCGTACTCTAAAATCACCATCCTTCCTCAATTCTTCGAACTCCTAAAGGAGAGATTCGTTGACCCCACGAGAGGCGTTAGAGCCTATGACAAGTTACAGACTATCCACTCAAGACAGTGGAGGAGTGCGAGAGCACTCAAGGGCGTTATGGATGACTTAGTAGCCGTCCTAGACCATGAGGTCACTAAGACCCAATTGGTCCAGTTGTTTTATCGTGCGATACCAGAGCCCCTGCGTGGGCACTTCTTTGACAAGTCTCAACAGGCCGGCATCACGTATGATGTGTCAAGCAGGGAAGTCGTCCTGTTCGAGTCAGAATCCATACCAATATCCACTTTCTGGCATAAGGACCTGGACAAGGGGAAGAAGTGGAAAGGCCGTACCATCTCAGGCCAAGTGAGGGCCAAGGATCATATGATCCTTACCTTAGAGGAAGGTGGTACAGATGAGGTCCCATACAGTCAGTTCGAATGGGGCCTTGAGGAGGAGGACAGTAGCGTGGGGCAGGGGAGGTCCTATGCTGCTGTCACGGCTGGAGGGAGGCCGCAAGGTAGAGGAGGAGGCCAGGGCCAAAAGGGCTAGGCCATGGGAGGCCGAGGACGAGGCGCACGGGGGGTTGGCGGACAAGGGTCCCCCGCCAAATCGCGAGGGTTCTTGTCGGTCTCCACAGCGACGAGGTGGAAGGCCACCTCAAGGAGGATGGCACCTAGGCTTGCCTCAGGGCAGGCTCTGGGAGGATTTGGGCTTGGACCAACACGTATGGCAAGAACGTGTGGACCAGGGTTAGTGCGTATTTTGTGGTGACCCGGCCCATGTAATAAAATTTTGTCCCAAGTATAGACAGGCCCGTTGGGCTGCTCAGCAGTCAAAAGGCAGCCGCCAATAGGGGTCGCAACTGCCCCTACTTCAAGGCCATGTGGAGAAGCGAGCGCGCGTACACAGGAAACTCCCAAACCACATGAGTCTATGGCAGAGGTTGCAGGCCCGTGCCTAGCTAGTTGTCCAGAGGTTGCTTATGTTAGCATCTCTCTAGGCACGTCCCTCACAGGTGTGGCTGAAGAGTTGAACGAGAGGATGCCAACCTGGGCCAAAATGAAGAAGGAGAGTAAGGGACAACTGATCTTGGTAGATGTAGAAGTGTTTAGAAGTAGAGTAGGGGCACTTATAGACTCAGGGGGAGATCTGTCAGCTATTTTGTCTTGAGAAATTTGCCAAATAAAATCATAAAATATAGCTAATTCTATCACACCATAAATAGGTAAAACACACAAAATTGAAACCAAATGTCCGGAGGAGTTAAAAAAGTTGCTATTAAGACTGAGAAAAAGAGCAAAGAACGACGATTTTTTATACAGGTTTTTACTGAAATACGTTTTGATTCTATTAAGAAGATCATGAAGACTGGTACTTGAGAACATATTGATGAAACAAACAAAATACGAACAGTTAACAAAATATAATCATAAATCTTCGGTTGTAACTGAATGTGTAGTAAATTCGTAGATGTTGTATTTAAGGTAAACAACAAGTTCCAAATAATGGGAACTACCCAATAATAAATAAGAAAAAAAAACAACAAGAAAGAAATTACACTCAAATAGAACAATTTTGTCCATTGGACCCTTTGTGTTTTGTAACAACTAGGAATAAAAAAACACCAAATTTGATAACTGAAAAAAGGGAARAAAAAAAAAAAGGGCGAAGCTTAGGGAAATTTGCATATATGTTTTCAAAGCTTCAGTCATTTGTGTGCAAATAAATGATGGTTGACCCGCAGTTACATTAGTCGTAGGGCGCTGAAGAAGCTGAGGCTAGGATTACAAGTCCAAAAATTAGCAGACCCCATAGTCAGTGTCCTCGCAGACAACCGCACAATGCGAGTTGAGGACTACGTAGAAGGAGTCCGGGCGTACTTTCGCCTAAAGAAGGATGGGAAGGTGGAGAAAGTTCTCCATTTCCTGACTCTCCTCGTACAGGATGACCTTCCTTTTGACATAGTGTTGGGAATGGATTGGGGAGAGGCAGTAGGGGCCACACTCCACTTGAGAGAGAATGAGTGTAGGCTCCCTAGTCCATCAGGCGAGGTTAAGACTGCCTGCCTGTTTCATGTGTCAGGTGTACATAACACCTTGGCACATTGCTGTCTCAGTGCTTCCACGTTCGCGCGACTAGTGAAAAAGGAGCAGTTAGAGGATCAAGTCTTCGTAGTGTATGTGAGGCCTGTAACTGAGGCTAAGGAAGGAGATAGTTCCACATACCCAACCATTGCCAAGCTGCTGGAGGAATTCAAAGATTTGACTGAGTCGCCGACAAGAGTAGTGTCGCGACCCATCCAGCACAGGATAGAGATAGAGTCTGGCAGTATAACTCCTAAGGGAGCAATCTACAGGCTGTCCCCTTGAGAGTTAGAGGAAATACGTAAGCAGTTGGACGAGCTCCTGGAGAAAGGTTGGATCAGGCCCAGTTCGTCTCCTTTTGGAGCACCTGTTCTGTTTGTCCCCAAGAAGAAAGGAGAGTTTCGTATGTGTATAAACTATAGGGGTTTGAATGCGATTCCTATGAAGAATGTTGAACCGCTGCCCATGATAGACGATCTTTTAGATCGGGTGCAGGGTTGTAAGTATTTTTCTAAAATAGATCTAAAGTCCGGTGTAGGGCCAAACCCCGGTAGACTTTCGAGCCTTAGTCGACCCCACTGCGGGTCCCAGTTGGCTCGGCCCGCCCTCACTCATACTCAGGGTGCGGGCCATTCGTCCCAAGGTCACCCCCACCTAGTGCTTTGAGATGGATGAGCGCGGGCCATCACGCGAGAGAGCTTTGACATTGGGGATGTAGCTCAGCCCTCACGCCGGGTGGTAGTCTCGCTGGTCGTTCCGCAACGCTGTTTTTTTTAATTCTTTGGGGTGTTCTCATGCAATTGCTCCTTCCAATACCCAGTCAGTCCAAGGATTCTTTGAGTGTTTCTCTTCTCTTGTGCATAGGCTAAGCGTCATTCTTAGGCCACGCACCATTTCCCTAAGCAATGTGACTATTGGCGTCATCGGGGTGTGGCGGAGCCGTCCTCCAACTCGCCTCTACGCATCCATCGGTCTCACAATTTGCTGTTTTCCTCATTGAAGTAGGCCCCTTAGTCCTTTCGGGGTCCTCATATGCATGCACACATAACATCACAATTTCCTTGGTATGATTGCGCTCTCATTTCCATTCCAAGTCCTGAAGCGCAAAAGTCATTCCCATGCTTTGGCTCTATGTCAAGGGTCCCATAGCCCCTTTGTCCCTCTTCCCTTTCACTCTCGGTGCCTAGTTCCTCTCGCCCCTATCCCGCTCAAGGCATTTCTAGCCACCACTCACCTGCACAATTCTCTCTTGGCTATGGCTTTCTTCTTCTCCAAACCCTTCTCTCCTCCTCCCTTGCTTTTTCTCTCAGGCTATGGCAAGCTCTCCCAACTATGGCTATGGAGTCCTCCCCTCTAGGAGGGCTAATAGGGGTCCTCTAGCTTCTCCTTTTCTCCTACACCCAAGAGGGATATGGCGAACAACCTCCCAAGTGTCTCTCCCACCATCACTATCCTCTAGAGTCCTCCCCACTACCTCCTAGTCTCCTCTAAGCTCTCCCACTAGCATGGGTTCCTCCCCTCTCACTCCAAGTGCAAAGGTGTTCCTGTGAGCTCACTTGGGCAGCATGGGCACTCCTCATGCAAATGTGAGAGTGGCGGACTGCATCCTCAGCTTATGTAGGCTGAAACCAGCTGTCCAGCCAGCCCACGAGCCTCCCCATGAACCTTGAGGTGAACCGAGGTACTCACAAGGCCCTTCTGGAGGTACCTGGGCCTCATTTTGGCCAAGTGCATGCAGTCCAAGTGGTTGGTACCAACTCGGACTGCCTCTTGGCCTACCCCGGCCTCTTTTTCATTGCTCAAATGCTGCCCCCTAGGGTCCAAATGCCCAAGGGGCAGCAATACTTGAAAGATATTTTTTCAAGTTTCGGCCTCTTTTGAGTAGGCCGGAGCATTTTTCCATATGGCGAAACATTTTCAGCCTTGGATCTGGCTGAGATCCAAGGCCAACAATAATCCGAGCTATCCCCTAGTAGCCCTTGCTTCAATTTTGAGCCCCAAGTCCAGGTTTTCAATTTTTGGTGCATCTGGCTTTCTTTTTGGGCCAAATGCACTGTTTTGTCCCTTTCCCTCTTTTGTTTCTTTCCATTTTGGGCTGCCACCTCATTCCGGAGCTAGCCGTTTTGAGCTGGCCCACAAAAAACGGCTAGTTTCTCTCTACCATGAGATCTGATCTCAGATCCATGGCCCAAAAGAAAACCGACCACTTCCTTTTTGCATTTTCCCCCATTTTCAGCTTTTTAATTCAAATTTTATTGACATATGGCCCTAAGGGCCATATCTCTGCAATCCGGATTGCCCTCCCTCATTCTAGGAGGGATGAGGTCACTGTTGGGACCTGTCAGTCCCTACTGTGCAGGTCCCAATAGGCCGACACACTCTCCTCCACTATTTTTTCCCTTTCTGTCTCATTCTCCCTCTTTTTTCTCTCATTTTTCTTTCTTTTTCTTTTATTTCTGTTGTGACAAGTGTCAAACTGCTGTGCACCCTCTTTCTAGGCCCTAGGGCCTCATTCAAGGCAGGTTCATGGCTGTTGCATGACCGTTACACCTCGGATTCCAATAATGGCACCCCCATGCTCCTAGGGCGCTCCATTTTGCTCCCGTTTGCCCAATTTTGAGCCCCTTTTGCTCCGATTTTCTCAGGGCAGCCTTTTTCTCATGTTGAGTCTTTCAAGGCTCTATTTTCTTATGCCTTGCTAGTCCGAGATATCCCGGACTGCTGGGCAGCCTTCCCAACATCCTTATTTCACTTTTCTTTCTCCCATGACTCTCTCACTTGCTCCCACTAGTGTTTGCACTAGTAGTGCTAATATTTTTCACCGTCTAGATCCTCCATCTCCACGGTGCCGCTTGCTTGCACAATTATTCCTTGTGTTTGCTCATGGTTCCCTTGGGACATCCCAAGTTCCCGCCATTTTCCTACATGCTAGCTCCATTTCTTTGTCCCATCGGTGGTCCCGCCGACGAGTGTTCCATTTTTCGTTTTTTTTATTATTGGGACCCATTTGGTTCCCGACAACATTCCGGACGGCGTCCCGTTTTTATTTCTTTGGGGCGCATTGCGCTTGGTGGTCCCATCGTTTCTACATGTGTGCCGATTTTTCTAGGCCACGAGATCTCATCTCACGGTTGTTGTTTACCGTTTTTACTTGTCTTTTGCCGAAATTACTCATTTCTAGCCTTCCGGGCTTGTCGTAGCCCATTCCCCTTTGGCCTTGGCATCCCTCATGCAGTCCGTAATTCCTCGGATTGCAATCATGGCTGCTTTTCATACCCACAGCCCCACAACTTGCCCCACGTTGAAAGAAAATGAAGCGTTAAATTTTATAGTGCATCCGGGCTCAATATTGGCTCCGGATGCACCTAGAACATGTGTTTTCTCTCCCCCATGCAGTCCGTTGCAACTCGGACTGCAATGGGGGTTAATTCCTTAGCCCCAATGCCCCACAACTAGCCCCTACTCAAAAGAAAAAGAAACGGTCAATTCCCAAGTGCATCCGGCCTTGATTTTGGCTTCAGATGCACCTAAAACATGTGTTTCTCCTCATGCATGTATTCCGTTTTATTCCGGTTGCAAGAGGCCTTGATTTTCTTTGATTTTCTCTACAAAAATCAAAGAAAATCCAAGTCCTTTGTAACCGCCATATTCCAGAATGAATCTGGTCACGGATGAATCTCCCCAAGTGACTGTTTTTTACCGTTAAGGCATTTTTCTATTTTCTTTTCTTTTCTTTTCTTTTCTTTTCTCTTTCTCCTCCTTTCTTGGACAGTAGGGACCTGCCAGTCCCTACCTATGGCAGTCCTTACTGACGGCCAACTCACTCACTCCCTCTCATTCCTTTTGTCTTATTCTCCTCCTCTTTCTTTTCTTTTCTCTCTTTTTTCTAGCATGCCAAGTGCCAAGTGGCCGTTAAGGCCCTTTTCTAGCGTCTTCCTCTTAGTTTTGGCCCTCCCTATGCCCAAGGTGCAGTCCGTTATTTCTTGGACTGCAATAATGGTCTTCCCATGCCCATGGGAGCCTTCTTTTACTCCTACACTTCTCCCACAAGAGTCCCTCATACTCCGATTTTCTCCCGGAGGGCTATTTTCACATGGGGTCTTATTTGACTCTATTTTCTTTGGGGAGGCTGATCCGAGATTTTTCGGATTGTTCCCATGCCTCCCACTTCAGTTTTTTTTACTTTTCCTTTTCCTTTTGGTCTTCCCGTTTGTCACCACTAGTACTTGCACCAGTGGTGCTAATATTGTTGGCCGTCAAGATGTTGATCTTGACGGTGCACCTTGCATTTATTATTTTTCCCTCATGTGGTGCCGTCGTTTCTTCTTGGGACTTTCACATGTCCCCGCCACTTGTCCCGTCGGTGGTTCCCGRCACTTAGTCCCRTCGGTGGCCCYCGACACTTAGTCCCGCYGGTGGTYCCYGACACTTAGTCCYGTCGGCGGTCCCTGACACATTTCGCCTCGGACGCCATTATTTTTACTTAGTCCCACATGGCCCCGGGTGCCTTTCCCCGAGGTGTCCCATGCCCCTTGGGCGTCTTGTCGCCCCATAGCGACCCCTCTCCTTAGTCTTACCTTGCGTCTTGTGCGTGCCGATCTCTTTTGGTCGTGGGCCTCTGCTCCGAGGCTCCCGTCGGTGGCCTCCATGTTGGCCCCTCATTTCTTGACTTCCCGCGGCTTCTGGCCGCCCATCCCTCGACTTCCTCATTCCTTTATTGATGTGGCGCTGCAATTGCTAGTTCAAAGGGCCCTTTGGCCTTAGTCTTATTGCATTCTGATGGTCCTTCCGGCCTCCTGCTATGTTCGATGTGCCCCTGTACTTGCGCTCGTTTGCTTGTCGTCGCTAGTTCTTCCTCCTGTGGCTCTCTCCTCAGGGCATGACTCTCTTTTGCGGCCTAATCCTTTGTCTTTTTTCTCTCCTGCTTCCTCACTCCAGATTTCTCTGTTGTGCACAAATTGTCAGTATTCAATCTCTCGAGTGATGGGAAGTTATTCGGGACCCACCAGTCCCGACACATTCCCCCCACTCATTCGCGATGTCCTCATCGCGCACCAATCTCTTGTTAGCGGATTTTGGAGGGATAAACGGAAGAGGAGGATGAGATGTTATGGGTGGTTAGTTTGTGAGGGTCCATTTTGTTATTTTCCCATTCCTTTCTCAAGGTTTTCCTTAGCTTCCGTCCCTTGAGATGGAGGAGGGTATGGGGGAGTCGAAGGTTCTACAGCTTAGACCAGGTTGCTTATTTCCGTCATAGCTTTGCCTCTTTTATCTTTCCCTCAATTGAGATGCAAACTTCCTCTTCAGTCAAACTCTGTATACCCAGCAGGGCAGCCCATAATTCTTTCAACTTTAGTAACATGAAGCAGGCGGGGCTCTCCTTGCTTTATGCACTTAACTACTGGTATGCTGGCTTTATTCCCAGGATGCCAATTTGTTGTCATAACACAATTGGTTTTCTCATTTTATGCCTTGGCTTTGTTGATAACAAATTGTAGGCAAGTTTTCGGATGCGACTCAATGTCAGGCATTTGCTCCGGAAGGGAGATGTTCGTCCAGTACAACCTCCGCCTTTGCTGTGGTGATACCCACTTTGAATTAGTGAGGCTAGGCACAACTCCCCCTAAGTGCTTCGTAATCTCAAATCTATCTTCCCATTTCATTGAGAAAACATTTTGGATTTGTCTCATTCATTACTCTTAGAGTCGTCAAAAAACATAATCTACTTTTCGGCCCGTGCAATCCATGTTTTCCCTTTACCGTTCCCCGACGCTCAGGCCTTGCCAAATCCACATGCATCTCCCCCGGGTCCTTTCGCCCGGCTCTCCTCAGGGCCTGCCAATTTTGCATTCATATCACTCTTTGTCTTTTCTTGTTCCTTGCTTATTTTTAACTTTTTCATGCATGCTGCCCAGTTCATCCCTTGTGCATCTCTCTTTCAGACGCCTTGTCAGACCTTTTTCCAAATACTCATCTATTTTTCAGCCTGCCACTCTTTCTCTCAGATCCATACATAGTCCATCATACGAGTCTTTTCTTTTCCAGACGTCTTGCTCGGCCGATTTTCAAGCTTATGCCAAATCAATCACACAAGTCGCTTGCCAGGCCTTTTCTCAAGCTCATGCAACGTCAATTTCTCACCCGTTTCTCTTCTGGACATCTTGCCAGACCTTTTCTCAAGCCTGCACAAAGTCAATTACTCATCCATTCTTCTCTTCTGGACATCTTGCCAAGCCTTTTTCTCAAGCTCATGCAACGTTAATTATTCATCCTTATGCTCATAGTATCCTTCTCTTTTGCACGTTTTTTCTTCGGTAAATGGCACACCTTTCCCGCACTCAAAATGCGATGTCCCCATCGCACGACTAGTTCTCACTCGGAGGTGCGCAACCTTTGGCCCACCAACGAGTAGGCGGATGCCGACCCATCAACCCCAAAAAGGAAGGGTGATCAGTCCTCCCCCTGCTGATAACTCACCTCATCCCCTTACTCCGTCCGACCTTTTGCCGCTTACGAGACGGGCGTCATTACTGAGGTACCTCCTAATATCTGGAAGGCAGGTCTAGCCCAAGCCTCCCAGGACCCCGTCTTGCCGTAAGGGCTTCCTCGCGAATCGTTCCTCCCGAATGGTAATTTTCTGGATCCGGCCTCTTCCTTTCAAGAGAGTTGGGGCTCTCAATTAGTCCATGAGTGCAGTTACGAAGACCTCGCAATTAGTCCCGAAGCGGTTGTAATGCTTCGGCGGGGCGGTGTCAATGCCCCGTGGTGGTTGTGGCTTCCACCCGGTACCACGCCCAATTCCTCCCTCTGGACAGTGCTACTCAACTTAACGCGAGCCGCCGTGGTCCATTCCAAGCGGCAGTGCTGCCCCTCAACGGCATGGCGTGAAGTTGGGGAGAACAAAGGTGACTAGAAAAAGAATGTCTCTCTCGCCCATTTGGTTCTCTCACCCTTTGACGTTTAGGCGTTCAACACGAGGCGCAACTTGAACTTCCCGACTAGAGCTCGTTGTCGGGGTCAGTTCCGGACGTACCGCACCGATCCAAGTGGTAGGTGCCTTGGTCCTTTAACCCTCATCCCCTTACAAGAGGAACAGGTCGCGCTGAGACTTTTTCCCTTACAGGGATAGAGGTCTTGGGGTCGCGGTGCGAGCACCGGTATCCCCCTCCTGCTGAGGCCAAAGACTAGAAAAAGAGAAAATCCATTTCAATGCTATTTCCAAGTCCATTTCAAGTTGCCTAGGGTCCCCTGACTATGCAATGCAATATTCAATCCTCAATCATTCAATCCAATGCTATTTCCAAGGCTGATTCTCATGGCTGGTCCGACAGCCTCTCACCAGCAAGGCCACCCATATGGCCGGTCTGGCGGTCATTCTCTCAATAGCCATTTCTCAAGAGTGACCCTTCCGCCCATTCAATCCTCAATTTTCCCATTCCTCAACACCCAATCTCTGTGACCGTCCCAACGGTCCCTGCCCCTCTTGGCTTTAAGGTTCCGCCTCTTTTATTCACATCTTTCTCCCGCCCCCTTGGCAATTTTCTGTGGCCGACCCACAGGCCTTTTCCATTTCCTCCATTCAACTCATTGGCTATTTCAATGACCGACCCACCGACCTTTTCCACCTCTCTCATCCATCCTTTGGCTATTTCAATAACCGACCCACCGACGTTTTCCATTGCTCTCATCCCATTGGCTATTTCAATGACCGACCCACCGACGTTTTCCATCTCTCTCATTCATCCCATTGGGTATTTCAATGACCGACCCACTGACCTTTTCCATCTCTCTCATCCATCCTTTGGCTATTTCAATAATCGACCCATCGACCTTTTTCATCTCTCTCATTCATCCCATTGGCTATTTCAATGACCGACCCATCGGCCTTTTCCATCTCCTATTGCTCATTCCAGCTCATCCTCAATCAACCTTTCTCAATCAAATATGCAGGGGACCCCAGTGCCGATTTCAAAAGGAATGACCCTTGTCAGGGGCCATTCCCGAATAACCTGATTAGGGTCGTTCTTTTCCATTCTCAAGTCGAACAGCCTGGTTAGGGCTATTCCTTTCCATTTTCAAGTCGAACAATCTGGTTAGGGTCATTCCTTTCCATTCTCAAGTCGAACAGCCGGGTTAAGGTCATTCCTTTCCATTCTCAATATTAGTGCCCGAGGGGGTGGGCCTCGAGGTTAAGGATCCCATTTCTGTCTTGGAGGTTAGAAGGTAGTCATCTCATCTTTTGCGTGACGTTCTCTTTCTTCTATTTCTCACAGTAATGTACCATCCATTCCATTTCTCACAGTAATGTACTATTCATGCATACATCCGACTTAGCGTCTAGCACTCGAGTTGGGGCTCGCGTCCCTAAGCAGCACTAGCTCACCCGACCGTTCATCCATAACAAAAGACAAAAGCACCCCTTCCATTTTCACTATTCCTGATCACTCAGGTTTCAACTATTCTCAGTCTCATTCATAATTCAGTTGGATTAGGCTCCTAGGGAAGAAGTGTTTTTCACGCCCCTTAACCCATAGGTTCCCTAACCTCTCTTGTACTCGATCAATCATTCAATGCTATGGTTCGCTCGTCAATCCGTACTCAAGGTTTTCCCCTCTCAAAAAGCATAATCCTTATTTCATCCAGAATTCACAATACACCCTCCCCCAATTGGTCTCATCCCAAATCCCATGTCTTTGTTTTATGTATCGAAGGTAACTCATCCAAAAAGGTAGCCTCGAAAAAAAGAAAAATTATCTTCTATCTTATCGTGACACAGCCTCAACTGACCCTCTTTTCACTTCACCCTTAGCAACCTTGCCCTGCCTGTACACGTTCTCGACATTCTCATGTCTCCGCAGACAGAAAAACAGTGATCCTTCTTAATGCTAAGTCAACACTTAGTACCTATTGCTGCCTTGCGCCTCGTTTTGCCCAGTTCCTTGTCCACCCTGTTCCTTGGCAGGCCTTCTAATCCCCAGGCCGTAGGTCTCGATTTCTCTTTTCATCCTCACAATTTTTCGTAACTCTGCCTCGTTAAAAAAGTCCAGCAGTATGGCTTCCACTTCTGCCCTTGCGAGTTCCCGAGTCTTGATAATCCATTCGTGTCTGATCACATTGATCCATTGCTGAAACCAATGACTGGGCGTTGGCCCAAACTCGTCCTCCCGTCTGAAAGCCCCGTCGCCCGGCTGGTGCATCGGAGGCCGCCCTTCTTCCCTAGGCCTCGAGATCCCATCCCTCTCATCCCTGCTGCTGATTTCTATGACTTCTCGCACATCCTCCTCCTCGTCCTCCTCGTTTTCTATCTGTATGGGGCTATATTCACCCGCAAGGTTCTTTAGATTGTAGGTAAAAGGGATCTCTGTCCCCGTCCCATACCTCTCGCAACTGCCGTGACCGCTTCGTACTTCAAGCGGGCTCTCCCTTTTCTCCTCGTCCTCCTCAGGTTCGTCGCGCATACCTTGTCCCCCCTCGCTTTCCCCATGCTAAGTCTCACGTGGTTCGCCCCTGATGGCCCCTTCCTCGTTAGAGACCCGAGCCTTATCTCCCATTTCTATGTTGCCTCCTTCTTCCACATTTGCCCTTCCCTTTTCGCCCTCACTGTCAATTGATATTTCTATACCTTCTCCCTTGCGGAGGGGTGAGGGTTTCCTACACAAGCATTTCCTTCCACCCCTGCCTACCACTGACCCGCCCATGAGCCCAATGTACAATTTTCTCTTCGCTGTCCTCCTCCCTTGGCTTGGTCCAGCTTCTTCCCCTCCCGTAGGCCTGTTGATTGCCCCGCTGTCGTTCTCGTTGCCGAATTTCATTTTTGTCTTTTCTCGTTTTACTCCTAAGCCCTGTATAACAAAACAACACCCGCAATGTCCCTCACACACTCGCGCCCCCCCCCCTTTAGGCCGGTAGACATTCCCAAAATGCACCCAGTATCCCTCGCATCATGCCCCTTTTATACATGCGAATGCGTCGTTTGTGATGACCCCATTTTTTTCCCATAAAAAACTATGGTACAATGCCCTAAACATCCCTTCCCGTTGTCACACAAGCCAGATATTGCAAACCCGCAAGTCATGCTGCCTTTCAACCTCAGTCAGTCCAAGCCAAAGCGCCAGTCCCAAAAAAATGACAGTCCCACGAACATGGTCAAAGACAAACCATAGTGTGGGCAAGGTTTGTGGCTCCTCTGTTTCCTTATCTTCGGCCTCCTGAAGCCATTGTTCCACTGGGTCCCGACTTAGAAACCTGACCAGTCGTTGCCCCGGGAAGGGCCCTTTCAATCCAGTTTCATCCAAATCTTCCAGTTCGAAGGTGTTCAGTCCCACCCGCTTGGCGACCCGGTAGGGGCCTTTGAACCTTCTTCCCAACTGTCCCGACCAAGTACTTTCTAGTGTCGAGTTCCTTAGCAATACCATCTCCCCCACCTGACGTGGCTCCTTTCTGACATTCTTAACCTGGTCCCACCTTGCTTTGTCCCTCATTCTGCTGTCCAGCACCCGGCTGGCGTTGTCTTCCATGACCTCCTCATTCTTAAGGATTTGTTGACATCTTGCCTCGATTAACTCTTCAGTGGTCATTTGCGGATCATCATCTAACCTATTCCAGGTAGGTATCAAGGCTTCCACAAGAAAGTCGATCTCTCTTCCGTACCAAAGCTCTGCCGGGATACATCCTGTTGTCATTTTAGGAGTCATATTCTCTGCAAAGACAGTCTGCTTAAGATACCTAGGCCAGTTCCCCCGATGGTCTGCTGCGAGCTTTGTAATCGTGTTCTTCAAGGTTCGGTGCCCCCTTTCCACAGGTGCATTGGCCTCAGGGTGATACGGCTCGATGAGTTTGATCGGTACGCAGAGTCTCTTAAGCATCCCCAATACTTCTTGGTTCACAAATTTCGTCCCATTGTCTGCTATAAACCTCCTGACGAACGGATGTTTCAAGTAGAAATCTTCTATCCAGTCCGCCACACTCCTCCCTGTCTTTTTCTTGAGGGCGACTGCCTCCACGAACCCGCTTAGGTTGTCTCGCGCATCCAGGATATACCTGTACCCATCCATTGATGCAGGCATGACCGCAAGGTCGAGGTGGACCAGATGTCCCGACCCTAGCACCCGCGTTGGTCTAAGCGGCTCGAAGACCCGCACCGAGCTTCGTTCTTGGCAAATAAGGCAAGTCTGGCAGTATATGGCGACCATGCTTGCCATGCCTGGCCAATAATAGAGTGGTGTTATCTTTGCAAGCGTTCCTTTGGACGACCGATGACCTCCAGCTAACCCGTCGTGCATGCCTGGGTGACGTCTACTTGCCTATGTCTTCCGCACACAACCCTCACGGGCATATCACCTTCCTCCCTTCGGAACAAATGCCCGCCCCTTAGGACGTACATTTCGGCTTCTTATCTTGCTTTAATACCGACTTTCGTAGGTTGTTTGTTTCCTACCAACAACAGTCCGACCTCCCGAAAGAGCCCTTCGTATGATTGGACATAGAAAAACTCCTCCCCTTCCTGGCCCCCATCCTTTTCTTCTTGCATCTGGTTTACCACCCATTGCAACTCTTTCCTTTCCCAAGATTCCACTAAGCTCATCACTGCTTCSSGSCCYCCCKCSACCGCCATTGCCATTAGTTCCTCTTTCGGTCCTACTATCGCTCCCCATGAGTCTTTTTCTTCTTTGCGTCCTCGAGTGGTAACTGGTCCTTCTCTAAGTTCTGCTACTACGGCAGGTGTCCTCTTCTCCAAAGTCTGGATCAATAGTTCTCCCGATGTGCATCCCTCGCTCATCATTTCGTTATCCACCGCGAGAGTCCCTCCTTCGTATTCGAGGAAGGCGTCTATGGGCTCTGCATCCTCCATCTCTTCGGGAGTGATGCAAACCCGACTTAGCCCATCTGCCTTGTTGCGGATTCCAACAATCCGTGCGATCTTGTAATCGAACTGCCATATGAATCCTACACATCTCCCTACCGTCGGATCTATAGGCCTGTAATTTTTTAGAGCCCCTACGACATTCGTCGGATCGATCCTTAAGATGAACCGCCTCCCAAATAGGTAGGCATGGAAGGTCTTAAGGCAATGCAGGATGGCTAGGACTTCCTTCTTGAATTGCGAGTACCGCCGTTCTGCGGAGTTCAGCGTTCTACTTTCGAACCTAATCGGCCTCTCTTTTCCTCCCTCATCCCTTTGAATCAACACACCTCCTACGGCCAAAGGTCCTCCATCTGTCTCTAGGACGAAGGGTCGTCCCACTTCGTCATTAARACAAGGCRCGGACAGGGCGACTGTCTCAGATGTCAATATGTCCTTGAGCCTTTGGACAGCTCCTTCTCGCTCCTCCGTCCAATCCATGGTTCCTTCTTCCCTGATCATAGCCCGAATAGGCTCAGCAATCTTGGCAAAGTTCTTAATGAAGATCCTCGAAAAGCCGACTACGCCTAGGAATGCCCTTACCTCCGTCGTCGTGCGCAATGGTGTCGGCCACTGTGATATCTTGTCAGTCTTTGCCGGATCCGGTTTCCTGCCGTAAGCACCGCAACGGAATCCTAGTATAGTTACCTTCGGTACTGTTAGGATACTCTTTGGTCCACTCGCCGTAATGTTGTATACTAGGAACCGGCGGAATAAGTCCTTGATGTCCTGCAGGTGGTCCCACACAAAACGTCGGATCCCCGGATGGACTTCCGTCTCGTCCTTCTCCTGCGCGCCTTTGATCGGATTGTCATCGATGTAAGGCTCATATTTTTCGGGGAACATGTCCCCGGCCACGGTGAGCATCCTGCGTTGCGCTTCGGCCACCGCGTTTGTGAATCCCATAGGGGTCACTTGCATCTGTAGTTGGCCTACGGGGGTGTGCATAGCGGTGTATGGCCTGTCCCGCACATCCAACGGAAGTTGGTTGTACCCTGAGTACAGATCTATAAGGGAGTAAATGCTCCGACCGGCGTGCGATTCTGCTAATAAGTCAGCCTGAGGTAGCGAGCCAGCATCCCGGATGGTTACCGCATTCAACTTCTGCAGGCCCTGAATCCACCTTAGTGTCTTGTTAGGCTTCCGAAAGACGAACCACCGGTTTGCGTATGGCGACGCCGTAGGCTTCGCAACGAAGGAGTCCATCTTTGCTCGAAGGAGGTCTGTTACTTCTCCTGCTATCCCAAATTCATAGGACGGCCCCTTGTCATTCCAGCACTCATGTTTTACCGTGTGGATTCTGACCGAAGGGATCAACTTTGCATCCAGTCGTCCCTTCTGGTGATCACTAAAGGCAAATGCCATGTGAAACTCCTGGCAGGTCCTTTTGATCAGGCGGGTTTCTTCTTCCGTTAAGAACCCGTCTATCCCTATCTTCATTGTGTCAGCTACCTCATCTGGTATCCGATGTCCCTCTGTCGCCCTTCTTTCTTGGATCAATCGAAGGACCTCTTCCTCCTTCTCCATAGCCTCTTCCTTTGATGTCTCTAGCAGGATCGAGACCGTTTTTGCTTTCTTCCCTACCGGCTTGTACTTTCGAACGCTTCCTTCCGGGATCTTTCTCCTAAAAAATGAACGGTCGGAATCGCCCTCCTCGCCTCTACGACTCGTTGTTAAATACTAACTAGTTTCCCATTCAGGCAATACCCCCTTTGCACCTCTCCTTCGAACTTGGCCAAGGCTGCTGAGTCCACTCCTACCTTGTGGTATCTGAGGGCCTTGATGAGTTGCAATAGATCGGGGATCTCGAGTGCGATTTCCGGCACGTCTATGCGTACTTCTTTCCGTTAGGGCAGGCTAGCACCAAGTTCGACCTCTGACTCCTTTTCCGCTACCATAATTCCTAGGACTTCATCCTCCTGCCTCCTCTTCTTCTGGGGCAGGCCCATCTTGATCCACTCCTTGTTGAATGCTTCCTCAATCATGATTTCTACCCTTTCTCTCATACCCTCCATCCGTGCGAAAGCCCCTTTTCGCGTGC